AGGCTGAGGTCTGCTGGAACAACAGTAGCGGCCAGCTGCAGTCCTGGGCGCCGTCCGGTTTGTGAATAAAGGGCCATGTGTCCCTGCCGAATGCTGAGTACTGCGTGGCCTCAATGGTGGTTGTCCAGGCTGTCGCTGAAACGGCACCGGGACTTGCTAATAATCGCCTTGTTCAAAAGTAGCGTTGGTATATCTACTGCAAAATGGCGGATAACTGCGAACCGAACCCGGAATACTCCGGCTCACCTAACTGGTGGGGTTGCTGTTTTGGCTTCTGCGTATTCCGCTTGGCAATACAGAAGCTGCCTGTGTTTAACTGAGGAGGCACTTTTACATTCACACTTAAAAATACGTAGCAGCTAAGCCGCTGTGCTGCTGGAAGTGCAGATGGAGACCTGGATCATAAACAGATTGTGCGCAAATCAGACCCTGAATGTGAGGAACGGGCAGGTTTATGGCTTTTGTTAATATATTTTTTTCACTGCTCTGCATGGTGCTAAAATAAACAGCTTAAGGTTAGAAAGGGGCAGCATCCGACACCTGAGCTTAGCAGAATCATAACATTTTGTTTTAGGATGGCCTAGTTTAGTACAGTATCTGAATAGTAGAGGTGTGGAAGTGGCGGTGCGCTACCAAATGGTCTAGTCATAGCTTTAGTACCTGTTGTCGGGGTTCAGCGCTTTGTTGTCAGTCAGACCTGGCTAGACCCTGTGATTTCTAATGGACATGTAATAGAATAAGAACGGATTGCTGATTAACAGCTGCTTATTGTGCCGCTGAATTCAGAAGTTCATGGTACTTGTTGCTTTGCCAAATTTCAGGGTACCTGAAAACTGAATAAATTTGTGATGATGGTGATGACTAGATGAATTGAAGGGGTTTTTTGTCACTTGTCTTCCATTATGGCTTTGTTCTTGCGTCAAACAGCTCTGTTTACTTTTGCTTTCTATTTTTGGGGCACAGTGGCAGACACTTTTCTTCTGCTTTAAGTTCTGACATGCTGCTCAGAGAGAACTCCAGGGATGATGACCTCAGTAGCCAATCCTTACTGCCATTCTCTTTGACCTCGTTACAGTAAAGATAATTACTGCTTGTTCCACTGCTCTTCAGAGGTCTTCCCTTTCTCTTCGAGAATAGCTGGATCTTAGATTGCAAGAGTAGGGACAGGTTGAACTAAGGCATACGTCTTGCAGATGCAGGTGAGGATGGGAATGCTCAAGTGTAAGCAGGAAGGGTGTACTGGGCTTATGTGGCAGTTCATGCTTGAATTTCACATTACAGGAAGCTGAATTTTCTTCTGTCAGGACTGAACCACACTTCATGGAAGAATTAGGTTGATGTTACAGAATGTAGAAAACAGCACCGTCTCCCTTGGAGCTAGGGATACTCATTCAGCATCCCAGGTGAAGTACTGTGGCCAGACAGTGCTTGGCAACGTTTACTTGGAAGCAGGGACAATACAAGTAAGTTTCTTTTCAAATAGTGGTTTGGCTCCCTATGCCTTGTGTGCATACTGTATTGCTCTGCTTTCCCACCTGCTCTGCTTTTCTGTGCAGAAGTGGCAGCCAAGCTTTTCAGTGATGCCAGTTAGTTTGGTTCGTAAGTTTACAGTCTTTCGATGTGGATGGAGTAACTCTGCAGACACTCTGCTTGTAAGGAATCATAGAATTGTTAAGGTTGTAAAAGACCTCTAAGATCATCAAGTCCAGCCGTCAACCCGTCACCACCATGGTGAATTCTGACTATAGCACTGTGTGTTGACTTCTGCCTCTTTTTCTTTATGATGAATTCTTTTCTTTAAGCACCACAGAAGAGCTGTTTCATTGCTGCTAACTTGTTCATATGACATTCACGCCTGCTGAGCACCACAAATCTCAAGAACCATTTATAGCCTGGAATGCATCATCTGCTCATGAGTCATCGAGTTCTAATCAACATCAGTGCTGCCCGAGATAGAAGCTGTTTTTCTTCAGTTTCTGAACAAACAGTGGCCCATCTTCTACATGGACTTTGGAGACAGGATCTGACTGAATGCTAGTGAGGAGCATGAAGCAGGGTTCTCTTAGCTTTTTTGAAAGGTAGTACTTTCATCCTGTCACAGATGAATTGTGTTTTCCAAGGCAGGAGCAGCCCTCAGGAAGCAGCAGTCGTAATACACTCTGTTCATCTGGGCTTCAGACAGTACACGTACTGGTGTGAAGAATGCACAGAAACCCTTCTTCTTCAGGGTTGCTCTTGTCTACTTGTTGACATGGCAGATGCCTTTATCAGCTCAGAAATGGGGTAAATACAAAGCTATGGATCCTATCATCAGGTTGCTGTTTAAAATTGACCTAGTCCTAAACTGCTTCAGTTTTATTCTGAAGAAGCTGTCTTGACGAGGAACTAGAGTTTGGTTGTGTGTTAACTTCAGCTTCGTCAGCCCCACTTCTTCTGCAAGGGGCTTTGTGGTATATGGTAGGTAAACAGAATCTTGGGTTGAAGATCTGTAGCCTCATACTGCACACATGTCAGCTGCCTTGGAGCAAAAATGAATTAAACTTACGTACAGCTTCTTGTGTGCCTTGTCTTCCGCTCTGCCTTCGCGGTTCCCAGAGTAAGGCAACTTTAGCATTTGATAGTGCTAGCTGAGCTTCTGGGGTATCAGTGCCTAATAATACATTATGAATCCTGTGCTAAGTTGTTTTGGGGCTTTATCCATTAAAAAGTAAAGCCAAAGTTCCTGTATGTCTTAACTATACTGGTCATCTTCTAAGTGGCATTTGCAGAAATGTATTCTTTGTATAAATGCATGTAAGAGCCCTAACTGCTATTACCAACTATGAGCAAGACTTGAAAAGTTCATGGTGCTTGACCACGGGATGTGATTGAACCCATCAGTGATTTTGTATGACAGCACTACAGACTGGAAGCAGGTGAATGTTTCTGGATTCCAAATACTTGCAGCCATTTGCCTTTTGATTTCTTAGAAGGCCTTGGGAAGAGTTTGAGGAAGTTTACAAACTCTCTCAGGCTCCCCTCATTTTAATGCTGTTCTTTCAGTGTGCAATTAATTTGTAAGCTGTATTGGATGCTGGAGTCTGTTTGAGATAGAGAGGATGACTCCTCTTCGGCTGAGTTACTGTCGTCATTTTGCCTGGGTTATTGATGAGATGATCTGCCTTCAGTCTCCTCTGGGGAATTGCACTGAGTTTCTGGAAGGAATATTGGAATGGGTTTTGGCGATCTCTGGGACTTGACCTGTAGAAATGTGAATGTGAGAACTAATGGGCTTTCATGCCTCCCATTGTGTACTGGAGGGGCAGACTGTGATGGAAGATGTTGCCAACTACAGAAGATACTCCCATACCAACTCTACAGATTGAGCCGAACCTCATCTACCGCCTTTATAATACACTGTGTGTAAAAAGTGGTAGTACCCGTGTAAACTGTGTATTGTCTTACAGGTGGGAATCAGCGTGAACTTGCCCGCCAAAAGAATCTGAAGAAGACTCAGGAGATCCACAAAGGGAAAAGGAAAGAGGATAGCTTGTCAGCTTCTCAGAGAAAACAGAGGTAAGGTCTAGTACAGTGGAGTGAAATGGTTGTGCAAAATAGGAGGGGGAAACGGGTCAGAAAGAACCCAGTGTCTTAGCTGAAACAGCTTTTAAGTACTTTGCCTTGATTCACGGTCCATCCACATGGCAGAGTTTAAACCATGGATGTAGGTTTTACTGTATCTGCTGTTAAACAGGTTTATTTTTGGTGAGACCTGTAAAACTTTTACTTCTTTTGAGCAGCTTTTTGCCTGGTGTGAACAGGAAAAGTTTGTGTAGTACTTTATTGAAGCTGTTTGATCCATTGTGTCCTTTGCTTCTAAAACTAAAAGAATTACGTAAGGTCTACTAATCAAGTAACTTGTCTGCCTCATGGGATACTGTAGTGAAAAAAAACAGGGTAATAGAAACAGCGTGCTCATGGCTGAGAAGTTTTATACTAATCTTTCTCCCTACTTGAAATGGGGGTTGCTAAAGGGCAAAAACTGTACTTAGAAAAACAGTGAGCCGGTATCTGAAATACTTTTTTTTTTTTCAGAGACTCTGAAATTATGCAGCAAAAACAAAAAGCAGCTAATGAAAGGAAGTCTCTGCAGGCAGGAGCAAAATGAGCTGCCCAGATGGGGAAGAAAGAGTGCGCCAGTGAAGCACAAAGGCCTGGAAGATCATTCATAAAAGTGTCTGGCTGTTAAATAATTACACATCTGTCTTGCGGAGTTGTTCAGCTAGCGTTAAGAGTATTTTCTGGTTAGCGCGGGCTTAGTTGTCTGGGGTGCTGTTCTGCATGCGTGTGAATAAAAGTACCAAGCAATAGCTTTACTCCAGCTTTTGCTGCGTTTGTTGATTTCACTTAATGGTTCCAGTAACGGCGAGTTTCTGAATCTACAGTTAGACCAGATCTTCTTAATTCTTGGAAGTACAGCTTTGTTCGGAATGGAACACACTTGCTAAACGTGCTTAACCCTGCAGAGGTCTGAACTGTAAATCTCAAATTATTTTTACAATAAAATGTTGCATGAAATGCTGTCTAATCTGAAGTGGTTAATGATCAGTTGATACGTTTCCAAGAACACAAAGGATCGATGGAATTGTGGAAGTATGCAAGTACAGCAAGGGTAAACAAAATCCATACGTTAAGAAGTGCCTGTTGTAAGCCGCAGCGCTCGGCCTGCGCTGTGGGGACGCCTGCCTGGCTGCAGGTTTCACCGGGGCGCGGCCGACGGTGGCTTTGAGCCGCGGGCCT